TTTACGCGCAAAACTTTTTTTCCTTTTTTTTTGTATTTCAAAAGTAAAGTACTCTCAATCTCCACCATGTTATCAACTGTTAAATTTATTAAAAAATTCATTTTTGAAACTTTTTCACTTCACTTGTTCAATTCACTTGCATGCCGCGCAAAATATTTGCAAAATATATGAATAAGTATCAGCTGAGCATCTGCAAAAAAAACATCAGGGTTGCAATATTGCCGCAGTTATTTGCTTGCTCGAACATTCCCCTAGTCAAGCTTTCAAAATGTTAAGACGTGAGTTTTTGTTCGACAATAGTGAAGGCGCGGTTAAAGCTAGAAATTATAGGGGCCGAATTAATTTTTCGGGACTTCAAAATTTCAATTTCAAAGAGTGCTTCCGTTTAAATTCAATCCAGGTGGATTTTCATTTAAATAATGTTGGAATAAAATTAGAGCACAATACACAGCGCAATCATACTTTGTCGGCTGAAAATCAACTGCTACTATGCCTACATTGGCTCGGAAATGGTTGCCAGTACCATGGAGTTGCAGCTTTGCATAGTGTTGCAAAATCCACAGTTTGCAGAACCATCCATAGAGTTGTCGACATTATAATAGACGTTTTATTTCAAAAAACAGTGCGATGGCCCGATGATGTCAGTGGTATTGCTGAAAAGTTTTTTCTGATGGGTGGATTCCCTTCTGTGTGTGGTTGCGTTGATGGCACAATCATTAAAATTGATGCGCCTCCATTACGCGAGGAAGGATATGTTGAAAACCACTCCTTGAATGTGATGATGATATGTGGGCCAGACTACACATTTTACAGTGTAAATGCAAGTTGGCCGGGCAGCGTTCATGACTCAGAGCTGAAACGGAATTCGGCTGTAAGTCAAAGACTTGACAATGGATGGAGACCATTTCCGGATGCTGTTCTTTTGGGTGATATTGGTTATGGATTGAAAAACTGGTTGATACCACCATTACGCCGAAATCCCAATAATCCTGCTGAAGAAGTTTTCAGTCGTTGCCACAAAAAAAAAAAAAAACGCCGCATAATTGAAAATAGTTTTGTCATTCTGAAAGAAAGATTCCCGTGTCTAAATTATTTGCGACTGAGGCCTGAGTTTGCAGGAAAGACAGTCATAGTTTGGCCCATCTTACACCTGCAACCCACTGAAGACACTGACAATGAAAGCGAGGAATTGGATGAAAATGCTGAAGAAGAAAATGATGCCCTTAATAATATAGATCAAGAGAGTGGAATGGAAAGGGTTACTTCCCTGCTACAATACTTTACCTAATGCCAACTATTACAGTATTGTTTTAAAATAAAAGTGTGTTTTCTACTGCAAAAGCGTCGTATCTTTTTGGGGCATTTTTATGGTGTGAGATTAAGGTCTCAGAGAATAAATAATAAAGGAAGTATTTTTGTATTTATTTACATAATTTTATTAATCACTGAGGATGGTTTTGTCATCGAGGCATTCGAGGACGCCTCTGATGATGACCATCAGGTCTTTGTCCTGATGGAGCTGGTTGATTGTGTAAGGATTTTCGTGCCTTTCCAGCGCAGATATAAGCTCCAGAAAGCTTGAGATTCGTTTATTTTCTATGCGTAACCGACTCGGCACATAATTTATATACATTTGATCCGTATATATTTGGTATCAAAGCATATTCTTAGTATATATGTATGTACATAAGTATGTATGTATGTATATTAAAATTTATCTACATATGTATTTCATGAGGATTCCATAAAATCATTA